TTTTTTTGTTCATGTATCTTTGTTATCGTATATTGTTAATATTTTTAAAAAATGAACGGATGGGGATAGTAGACTAACAACTGCATGGAACTGTATGATTCATTTAGTGACGACTCTTACAGTACTTACTCATAATTGTATTCCTTTAAAGAGATTTTCCTCAGTGATAGATGTTATAAATTTAGATCCCTCATGTCCAATCTCGAAAACTAGGCTCATTCGACGTGTTTTTGCACGAAATAAATAAATTTGCAAAAAGAAGCATTGTTTTGCCCTGCCAAGCGAATGTTTGTGTTTAAAATATATTTTTATATAAGTTTTATTAATATGTAGCCAAAGATGTAGCATAAAATACATTAATCTTTTTTTTAATAATCTTAATCGAATTACCCCAGTCCCGGGGCTAGTTGAATTAGATTGAATGCATTAGAAAAATACATTTTTTTCATATTAGTTATCAGTTTCTCCTTATTATTAAAATAATATTAGGTAATTAAACATATGTAGTAACTGATGTAAAATTCATGAGATCCGATAATCTCGATTTGCCGCAACTTGCCAGTTCGCGTAAAGTAGCCACGGTAGTGGCGCTGCGCGTAGCTTAGCGCCGAGACACTACCAGTGTCTCCAGATTTTTCTTTGGGAGGAATAAAATGGTAACATTTAACTTGGCGCCAGTTGTTGATATCAAATCTTTTATACAAATGATACATATCATTAGTTCAACTAAACAGCAAACGTGATTAGTCATCAGTTTCACGGGCGATTAAGTAATTAGCATTGGTGAAACCAGACCAAATGGTGGTTCTACACGAGAAACATGCACGCTTAGCGCTTCTTTTATCATTTTTTGAAAAGGTAAGTTTGTTCGAATTACATGGAATTTAACTTGGCGCCAATTGTTGATATCGAACCTTTTTTACGAATAATACATAAAATATATATCACAACGATTAGATAAGAAGTTTGTTCGCGTCGCTTGCATCAACATGCTCCTATAGATTAAATGCGAAAAAGATGTAAGATAGTTTTTGCTTTTATAATTATATTTCTAATATTTAGATGTTTTAGACTCTTATATCCATTTCCACCAACGTAAATTAACTTTAATGTCGGTTCAACTTGCTCTTCATCTTTTTCTAATTCTAAAGATAAGTTGAACCGAGATTAAAGTTAATTCACGTTGGTGGAAATGGGTATTAATTGTTCTTTACTTATTGTTTTATGTTTGAATTGTAAGTCTTTTACTCATTTTTATATTGTATATTTCTAATTAATTGTTCTTTACTTACTGTTTTATTTGAATTATAAGAGTCCTTTACTCATATTTATATTGTATGTTTTTAATAATGAGAAAACACTACCACAAAAATAAATCATTATCTTTTAAATTCAAGCCTTTCCTTTCAGTAAATCTGAAATATATATATACACGCTTTCTACTGCATTGCAGACACTTTCTTGAACCTGCGTACGAAAGAATATTGCAATAAAAGTTATTACAAATTTTATAAGATAATATTAATTGAAATAAACTACCAGGATAGAAAATGTATACTTACAGAGGAAAATGCGTTTTACAGCAGAGAATATTTATTCTAGCCTCACGTGTTCATACGTGTTCCTCTGTTCCATCGACGTGATGGATTTTAACCTGAATAGTTTAACGGTTAATACTTAAATGCCACATTTACCTCTTGCTATCTAGAGTCAAACCTGTCAAAATGAGATGGAAAACACCTAGATACCCATTTCCTCGAAAACAAACACCTAGACACCCACTTTCTTGAAGGCGAACACCTTGATACCCACTTCCTCGAAGGCGAATACCTAGACACTGTCTTCCTCAACAGCGAACACCTAGACACCCATTTCCTCGACGACGAACATGTAGACAACACCTAGACATTCACTTTTTCGACGGCGAACACCTAGACACTCACTTCTTCGACGGCGAACACCTAGACACCCATTTCTTCGACCTAGACACCCACTTCCTCGACGACAAACATCTAGACGCTTAATTTCTCGACGGCGAACACCTAGACGCTTAATTCCTGAATATCTATACACCAAAAAAAAGATAATCTCGATATTTCATTTTAATTATAATTAATATTTTATTTTAATTTATTTTATTAATTATATTTCATTTTAATTTCAATTAATTATAATAATAATTCACTTCGTGCACGTCACATCGTATATGTGACAATGTTACCATCGCTGATTATCACATCCGTCATGTGTGGTTGATCACATTCGAATGTGCAATGCTGCCATCGCTAGGTTAAGTCAAAAGCCCTCTAATGTCGAAAAATCAAGATGGACATTTTCTCCTGGTCGACGACGACGACGTCAACGACAATGACGTTTCTTAATATAAAAGTTTCAGATTCGTATTTTACGTCGCAATATCTCCGCTCGTAAAGCACGTTGAGAAAAAATAAAAACACTCATCATATATCCCGACCGGTTGCAATCGATTGAGCGTACTTAGAACTTGATCGGTTCAGCCGTTATTGAGATCCGATAATCTCGTATTGCCGCAACTCGCTGGCTCGCGTAAAGTAGCCACGGTAGTGGCGCTGCGCGTAGCTTAGCGCCGAGACACTACCAGTGTCTTCAGATTTTTTCGATTCTTAATTTTGTCTGTAAAAATTCGAAACTGAAAAATGAGTTTATTAGCCCTGGTCTCCCCTATACCGCGGACTAACACCGATGTTTCATCAAACAGCTAATTGGAATATTATGGTCCACTGTAAAAATACTTAAGTGAGGAAATATCATAGAAGAAGTTAAAAATCATTGTTTATAGATGATAATTCTAGTATTACGCGAGAAATTCAATCAATATCACATTGACGTCAAAATGATAACATTATGATGAGACAATTTTGCCTGCTCCATTATTTTTTCAAAAAATTCTGACATTGTTTTGTAGCATGTTGGTATTATTTCTACATATTTCTACGTATTTCAATATATTATAATATATTTGATGTGTTATCTCTCTATGACAGATATACTTTTATTACTTTAATTTCAAGTATTGTTGTATTCACAAATATAAGTAATATTAATAACAATTCCTACAAACATAATAATATATATTTTATACTTCCTTTTAAATGTTATTTACTTTTAGGTTCAAAAATCAGGTTAATTTTGTATATGAATACACACAAAATTAGTGCACGTTCCTATTAATAATATAGATTAATCTTAATTATGATTTAACATACTTTTACCTTTTCTTAATTCAAAGAATTAAAAACGTTAGAGTACACTATACCAAAAATTGAAGTAAATTTATGTTAGTAGAGAGAGATTTAATCTTGCATTTATTTCCCAATAAATAAGCTGACGTTACTCGTCATTTTGATAACATCTTAACGGCATTTTGACGTTTACAACGTCATTTGGACATTACTATAATAATAAATAAGAGCTTAATTTTTTGCTAGATAATTGTTAATATGATATCAAACAAATACCAAAATGGTAGTCAAGATCACCGTCATGGTATGGGACGTTTTGCAGTCATATAGTCGTCATTTTGCCATCATTTTAATTACATTTTTTGACATCATACTCCTAATCAATATGACGTTACATTGACATCATCTTGACTAAGTAGATTTCACTGGGAAAATATTCCGTGTTCGTGGAAACAGCAATTTCCGTATGATTGCAGGTTTAGCACCATGGGATATAAGATTTGATGGATGACCGCTTAGGAAAATAAGGAAATTGATTCCCAAATGAGGAGAAAGATGTTTTTATTCAATTACAATTTTGTCGTTCCGGAATATGATAATCAATAACACTTATTATAATAATAAAACTGAGTTAATTAACAATGATAAATCACAAATTAATGAAAAAACTAATAAGTTTTTGCAGACTCCTTTAATTAGAACAATTAATAAAATCATGAAATATGTAATACAGGCAATAGAAGTCGACGCTGGTTATCAATAAGCGCAATTTTTTTTAATACTAAAAATGTAAACTTTAACTTTGAACGTTTCATGGTTTGAGTCTTCATCAGCAATCTTTCACCCTAGCGCAACGATTGGAGTATTGGATGACAAAATGATATCTCCAACGTTTTTCATCTCAAAAATTGAACCGTTTACTGTTATGAGGTAAGTCACATACTCACAAAGTTAGAAAGCTGAGTGGCAATGAGAACTCAAGAATAAAATTATATGAAAGATTAAATTATAGTATGTCTAATTTGAAAATTAATAATCGCCTCACTGCACACAGTCGACACTTCTACACTGAACAATGAATCTCTCTTTTTTTTTGTTTACGCTGGGGAAATGCGTTAAGCATACCCACCCTTCCGGAGAGAAGGGACGGGTTATATGGGATTCACCAGACCTGACGGTCCAAGGGCATACCCACTAAAACCCCAGCGAGTGTCCTACCTTGGGCGCTAAGTCAGGACGGGGAGGGCTCTGGACACAGTACTCACCTCCCCGTCCCAACGCCTGAAGTGCTTTCGCACTTCTCAAAAACTCATCTACTCCGCAGTGAGGGGGGGACACCACCTCCCCCCTCACCGCCAGACCACAGGTTCCATAGCCGAGGAGTGGGTAGTCACCCGCTCCCCACATCGCAGAATCAGTGGTCCGAGAGGGAGGTGGGGGCCTAATGCCCCCACCTCCCCCCCATCATCATCTCACCGAGAACGGACGGGCCCAAGCCCAGCCCAGACCCGCGCTTAACCCCGGCGTGGCCGGGTACCTGCTTCCGCCGCTAACGCTTCTCGGGAGAGAGCGCAATGGTCGTTGCCACCGCTATCCTTCTCCTCGACTTCCCATGTTAATCTTCCCGTTGTCGTCGGGCGTGCGTTCTCGAATGCGTTCTGCCTCCTCTTTTATTTTCATCACGCTTTCGCAATATCGAAAGACTGCCTCCCTTTTTTTTATCGTCAAGTACAGCCCCGATCAGAGCAGCACACGATACATCGTCCCCGATGTTCTTGATCAGCTCTCTTCTGTTCCCCATGCCGGGCACTCCTCCCGCGTATGTTGGGCTGTGTGCAGTCTGGCTGGGCAATGCCAGTACCTGGCAGATTTCTCCTTCTTAATCTTGTGTAGGTATTGCCCAAAGCACCCATGGCCAGTTAGCAACTGGGTGCACCGGTATGTGAGACCAATCTTTGCTTCGGCCCATTTTTGGAGATGGGGTCGGAGTTCAATCCCCACCTCCCCTCCCGATTGACCAGGACTTCTGATCCATGCTTCCCAATTGCGGAGCATCCTGTTTCTCTCCCTAGATCGTACCGGTTCCGACACACTGGGGGGAATCCACTTCATTCCTTGTGAGCGGAGCTTCTGCATGGCCTCGTACACATTCGCGTACATTTGCGCTTTCAGGAGCAGAGGCGGTGTTCCGGCCAGTATAGTCGCAGTGGCGAAGCTTACCGTCCTGAATCCCCTTATAGTTCTGCAGGCGATTCTACGCTGGGCCTGTTGTAGTTGGCACTGGATGAGCCTGTTCTTCTCAACCTTATCCATCCATGCTGGAGCCGCGTACAGCGCAATCGAGTCCAGCACAGTGGCGTGCAATCGTCTAATCCTGGGACTTGGTCCCCCAATATTTGGCAGGATTTTTGCCAAATTGCCTGCCGCTCGCAGTAGTCTCTCACTTAGCACCTGGAACTGTCGCTCATAGGTCCATCGGCTAACCACGATCACTCCCAGGTACTTGAGGCTATCCTTTAAGATAATTTCCGAGGTATCCACCCTCACGACGGACTTCACTGGCGGACATCGTCTTTTGCTTTCTCAGAAGTAGATTGCCTCCGACTTCCCAGCTGAAATGCTCAAGCCCAGTGATTTGATGTGGAAGACCACGTTGACAACTGTCTCGTTGGCTTTGAGCACAGCTTCCTGCCAGTCTTGCCCCCCTGCCAAGACAAACGTGTCGTCCGCGTAAGCGGTGATTCCACAGTCCTCCGGGAGGTCAGTGTTCCTCAGCACTTCGTTGTAGCCCAGTGTCAATAAACATGGACCCAGGACCGAGCCCTGCGGCTCCGCGCTCGACCCTTCTACTTTGGGTCTCTCCCCTTTTGTCCGTGTACTTGAGGTACTTGTTCGAGAGGTATGCTCGCAGGACTCTCCGGATGTAATAGGGCATCTTAATTGACGCGAGCGCCTTTCCAATCCCATTCTACGGCAGAGAGTGAATGCGTTCGATATGTCAATCGACAACTCCCCTCCGTGGTATCGATGTAGTGCTCGGTGAATCGTCGCACGTTTACGATAGCGCCTGTAGTGCTGCGACCCTTGCGGAAACCGAATTGGGATGCGTTTAAGCGCGATCCCCTACCAAAGCCAAAGCTATCGAGATAATTGTTGATACGACCCATTACAATGCGCTCGAAGATCTTCGCCTCCTCATCCAGGAGGCATATTTGCCGGTAGCCCGAGGGGTCATCGGCTGGTTTGCTAGCAACACCAGTTTGGCTTGCTTCCATTTTTCCGGGAAGACTCCGTCCTTCAGGCATTTCGTAAAGAGCTCTCTCATTATCGCGAAGAGTCCATCCGTCACCATTGTCCATGCCTGGCTCGGTACCCCGCTGGGCCCAGGCGCCGCTTTTCTTTGGTTCATTTTCCTCACGGCGAGTTGCATCTTCTCGTGGGATACCTCCATGCTTGGCACCCAGCGTCCACTACCTACACTGGGGAGGCTATCTCTTTCCCTCCATTCCTCCTCTCCTTGGTTCTCGGGGGGCGGGAAGAGTGTATTTAACACCTCCTCCAAAAAAGGAGGATCCAGTGACTCCGTTATCGGTACCGTCCAGTGTCTTAATTTATTAAGGACCAGCTTGTATGCAGTCCCCCATGGGTCCTCATTTAGTGATTTCACGAGGTCTCGCCATGAGCGTTCTTTCGCCTCGTAGATTGCTACCCTTAGCTTTTTCTTAAACGTCCTGTACTCGTTTACTCTGGCTTCGATTTCTTCAGGTTCGGATCGTCTTCTGCGGGCTCGTTTGATTGCCCTACGAGCTCTTGAGGCATCCTCTCTCAGCAGTGCTACCACCTCGTTCCACCAGTGAACGCTCTTCCTTAATCGGGTCTTAGCCCTTGGCATTGCCACATCGCAGGCATTTAATGCGATTCTTTGCAATTTGTCCGTCTCGGTATTTGGGTCGCAGTCCTCCATATCTCGTGCTTGACGGCTCGTCGGCCAGGAGCTCGCTATGATGGCTGCCTCGAAAATGTCCTTATTTAATTTTTGGACAGCCCAGCGTTGTCCCTTTGATTCCTTTTCTTCTTTCTTGTGCGGTTGTTAGTCCCAACTCCATCGTGATAAACAGATGGTCCGACATAGTCTCCATCTGCCTCATCTGCCTCATCTATCATCCTGCGATCCTCCTTACGAGACCAGGAGAGGCCCACGTGACATCTACGGCCGATTCGCCCGTGGTCCTAACACACGTGCTCGTCATTCTCGTATTCATGCAACAAAGACCCAAGCTGGCAGCCCAGTCTTCGAGAAGTCGTCCCCTTAGGTTCGTGATCCTATCACCCCATAGAGTCGATCTGGAGTTAAAGTCTCCCGCGACAATCATGGGGCTGCCCCCATAGCTCTGCAGATGTTTAGCCAGATCTTCTAAGATCCTCTCGAACCTTGCGAGGCTCGGGGAAATGTATACGGCGGTAACGAACATGTCCCCCCATTTAATCGTAACGAACCCTTTACCTATATAGACTCTCGTTAGCGGGAGCGAGTGACTACTCCGACGCCAACAGATGGCCACATCTCCTTTCAGGTTACCCACCCAATGGGGGTGGACCGGAATTCGGTATGGCTCGGCAATTACCGCCAGACCGACATCGTATTCCGTCATTGTTTGAGCCAGAATATCCTGAGCGAACAATGAATCTCTCTTATGTAACATATTGTAACTCATTAATATGTTATAAATTATCGTCAAATTTAAAAAAAAGTAACTGCGAGAACAATATGTGTCTTGTCATTTCGGCAGTCGGTTAAATAATGATTGCTAAACAAATAACATAGCGGTCAATTTGAAGACAAACATGTTTATGACATATATTATATTACGAACAGGCCTTAAAGTTTATTGAGAACTTCAGTGTACGCATGATTTAAACCAATAGTATCATTTTGTAGATTCAGCCCATTGGTTTGTCGATTAATATGCACCATCTCTGATATTAACCTTTTATTATAATAATTTTCTACATCCAATATCTCTACGTTTTGCCAATCAAAGTCATGATCGTTTTGCAACCTATATTCTGTGATCACTGAAAGATTGGATGTTTTACTATGGATATGCTCTTTGTGTTCAGAAAGTCTGGTTTTTAATTTTCTCCCTGTTTGTCCCACATAGGAAGCATCGCAATCACGACAGTTGATCTTGTAGACACATTTCTTTTTAATTCATCGTTTAAAGGACTTTTATGAACTTTAATAAACTGATTCAGCGTGTTCAAACTAAAAAATGAAACCCTATGGCAAATCCTATTAACTGCATTCTTGAATTTATTAGATATCTCTTCCAAATAAGGTATGGAAAATCATTTAACACGTTCTTTAGGTAAATTGTTATTTGTTTTTTTAGATGAACAAGAATTCAATTTAGCTTCTTGCAACATTCAGCAGCTGCCACATACTCGGCTTCTGTTGTTGATTGAGCTGTAATAGGTTGTTTCCTTGAACACCAACTAATTGGACCTCCAGCAAAAAATATGATATATCCAGTGGTACTGCGACGTGTTTCTAAATCTTCTGCGAAATCTGCATCTGAATAAGCAATTAATTTCTTGATATTTCCATTTCTTGTATATTCAATGCCTTTTTCAGTGTTACCTTTCAGATATTTCAAAACATGTTTTAATTCATTTATCTTTTCTATCGAATAATTTTCTACAAATCTACTCAAGTAATTCACACTAAATGTTATATCTGGTCGTGTTTTTGAAGATAAATACAGAAGACTTCCAATCATTTCCCTATATGGTTGTTTTTGGAGTTGTTAAACTTTCTTCTCCCTTAAATAATGGTATCTTCACTCCTTTAGCATTTTCCATTCCTGCTTGTTTTAAAATCTTCTTTACATAATCTCTTTGTGTGAAAATAAGTGAATCCTTAGTATGAATTATTTCATGACCTACAAATGTTCTCATATCATTAGTGATTTTTATTTTAAATTCTTCTCCAAGCATTCTTAACACAGTTTTAATTTCTTCAAGATCACTGCCTATTATAAGTCCGTCATCTACATAGATTCCCATAATTAAATCGCTATTGATTTTTAAAAAAATACATTGTTCACTATTTATGGCAACAAAATCTAATTTTTTCAAATAATTAGTGAATCTCAAATTCCATCTGAATGAAGCTTGTTTTAGTCCATAATTTGCCTTTTTTAATTTTAAGATTTTATTATTATATTTATATCCTTCTGGTGGATACAAATAAATATCTTCCTCTAAATCTCCATAAAGGAAAGCTGTTTTCACATCGAAAGTAATTATTTTAAAACCTTTGGCAGTTGCTATCGCAAAAATATTTTTCATTGCACTCTGGCCTATGACAGGATTATATGTCTCTTGATAATCAAAATCTTTCCTTTGCTCACATCCCTTTATTACTAACCTAGCTTTATATTTTCCATTTTGTTTTATACTAAAAATCCATTTACTGTGTAGTGGTTTCGATTTTATATTACACGCATCTTTCACTTCCCACACATTGTTCTCCTTCAATGATCCTTTTTTTTCGTTTATTGCTTGTGTCCATTTTTCTTTGTCATCTCCAGTTACTGCTTCTTTATATGTTAAGTACACATAATCTCTAAATTTTTCTGGCATTTTCTTCGTTCTATTTGCTTTTTAAGTTCTTTTTCAATGTGGGAATCTTCTTTTTTTTTGTTCTTCTTTATTTTCTTTATCTTCTATATCTTCTATTTCAAATTCTTCATTTATCAATTCATCCTCTGCATCTTCATAATCTTCACTCTCTTCATTTTCACTAATATCTTTTTCTTCAGACTTTATTACTTCCTCTTTGTCTCTCAGTAAATTTATTCTTTTCTTTCTTTCTAACTGATTTAAATTTTTATTTTTATTAGCCGTTTTAGCGACAAAAAAGATCACGTCCCATGTACGATTTTAAAACTGGGCCAACATCGGGCCAATGTCGGTTGCCAACTTCCGACTGTCGGCCCGGTACTGACTGTAACGTCACGCCGACGTCGGCATAATATCCAAATGATAAGATCGGCCCAACATTAACGCCAGTGTCGGGCCGACATTGGCCACCGACGTCGGGCCGACAGTCGGAAGTTGACATTAAATTTCAGTGTTGGGTAGACATTGGTCACCGACATCGCCCCAACGTTAGATGCCGATGTCGAGCCGATGTCGATAAAATATCCAAATGATAAGATCGGCCCAACGTTAAAAGCCAGCGTCGAACCGACACTAATCGCCGACTCGGCCCAACGTTAAAAGCCAGTGTCGAGCCGATACTGATCACCGACGTCGGTCCAACGTCGGATACCAATGTCGAGCCGACACTAGTTCAATATTTATATAAAAAAAATCATTTTTTAAATATAGATATTTAATACACAAGATGTCTGAAAATGTATGATTAAGATTCTTTTGTCTTACCTGAAATTTGATATTTAAATTAATTTCGAAAAACACACTTACCTTGAGAGATTCGAACCTAGGATCTCTGGATCATGAGTCTCCTACCTTACGTACTAGACCATTCCTTCAGCTGATAAATTAATAACTTATAGTACATTTAAGTTTGCCGACAGTCATTAATCGAACATGGCGCGACGTCGGCCCAACCTACATTAGCCGACACTTACTCAATGACGACATTTGACCAATGTCTGGCCAATGTTGGCACTATGTTGGCAACTGGTTGTTACGTTAACCTCGGCGCGACGTCGGCACAGGCTAAGTTAGCCGACACTTATTTCAAGACAACTTCAGGCCATGTCATCGATTAAGTGTCGGCTAATGTACGTCGGGCCGACGTCGCACTGTGATTGGCGTGACCGCCGGTTGCCGACATGTTGCCAACGTTGGCCCGAGCTTCGTCAATAAGTAAGAGTCGGCTAACGTACGTAGGGCCGACGTCGCACCGTGGTTCGCGTGACCGCCGGTTGCCGACATGCTGCCAACGTTGGCCCGAGCTACGTCAATATGTAAGAGTCGGCTAACGTACGTTGGGCCGAGGTCGCGCCGTGATTGGCGTGTAGTACCTATACTATAAATTTTCGATTTTGATGTTTTGGAAAAAATATGACGAGTTTGAAATATGCCTAAAAATGCGTAATTTAAACGTTCACAATACAAAGTGATCTCACGTCGTTGAAAATGCTTCCACGAAAAAATTTTTCAGTGGAAATTTAAGCTAAAGGTTTCTACTTTACGAAGCAACATTGAAAAATTCGAAAAAATGAAGTTTTAAAATATTATTTTGAAAGAGACGATGAATCACAGCATTTTCTAACTTTTCACAATAACTGCCGTAGTTTTCTTTTCCGAACATATTTCGGGACGTTATTAGCGGGAAAATAAAGATGAGAGTTTCTACAATAAAGTGCATGTAGTAGGTATACGTAAACGAGTTTTGGGAACTGAAGAACAGCCTTCGAAAACAGGCAAGAATGCGAGCAGCTGGTATGCCGGAGAAAAGACCGAGGCGTAGGTATACGTTCAGCCGCTGCGCGCGCACCTGCCCCACAGGCGTATGCTTGGCTGCATGACAGTGTGTGTACTACCGGCAGTAGCGCAACGTGACAACGTGCATATGAAACGTGTATTTGTGTATAGTTATTGACAGGAATTGTTGAAAACGGTAAGTACGGGTTAATTACGCATTTTCGTGACAATTATTTTATGGGTTTGAAATTTTTTTATGAATGATAGTTAAAATATACTAGAAAACGTACGATATTTTCTATAACGCCGAAGCGCGTTGATTTTGAGGTTAGATTTGTGTTACTTTCATAGTAATATTCTCGATGTATATAAATTATATAATTTATAAATCTACATATTTATTTGTAGCACTTAAAGAATGAATTGATTAATATAATTTTGTTCTTTTCTTCAGATGGCAACTATACCTATCATGGATATTTGCATAATCTGCAGAGAGCCGTTGAGTAGTGATACGGTGGTGACAGTGACTCGTGGCATTGACACTTTAAAAAGTGTGAGTTTGACTCGTGGAGATGATATTCATGATATAATTGGCGATTTGGAGAATATCACGGTGCATGCGGAATGCAGAAAGAAGTACATTCTTCTGAAAGATGGATCTTTGTTTTATAAAAATTTTCGGCCTCCAAAACGAGATCTTCCTCCATTTAGCCCGGTGAGTAAGAAGCTACGCGTTCACTGCAAGTTCGACTTCAGAAATTTGTGTTTCTTGTGCGGCAAAGAAGCTTCCGTTGAAAAGCAGCTAAAACGTGAGAAGTCCCGGAGAGAAGTAATAATGACAGTAGAAACGTCAAGCTTGAAATCGAATATATTAAAAATTATTGACGATCTACCGGGCAATTCTATGAACGCCGTACGCACAAGAATATTGACCGAGGACTTGCAAGCTGTGGGGGCCCGATATCACAAAAAGTGTTACCTCAATTTGTCGCACAGTGCAGAAACTTCG